AAATAAAACTGATGAAAGCGTTGATCATTAAAAACTGAATGCATTTAAATTACTCACCAATAATGGCGAGTGATGGCACCTGATGGCGTGCAATTGGTGCTTCGATTAGCGTTTTCAATCACTCCCGGGACGTTTTCATGATAACCGACGGATAATTTTGTCTTTATTAAAACACGGTGTTTTTTAATACGATAATACCGGGAAGACATTGTTGCTCGGAACTAGAAAACCTGGCGAACGTTAGGAGTACTAGTACTTAATTTTTCAATAATTGGCATACCATTGGGCCAGAGATGCTATGCCAATCCTCAAGTAGCCAACACTCGACCAAACGCTGACCAAGCAATGGAGTACCGGTGTTTGATTTGTCATTGGCTGACAAAGTATCGGGCCAAAGATGCTTATTAATCTCCAGGTAGCCAGCACTGGTCAAGCATTGAGTGAGCAATGGCCAATGAGTGTTTGGTTCGCCATTGGCTGACGAAGTGTTGGGCCAAAGATGCTCTGCCAATCTTCAGTTAGCCAACATTGAACCAAGCGGTGAACGAGCAATGGTGTACCAGTCTTTGGTTCGTTATTGGCTGACGAAGTGTTGGCCCAGAGATGCTCCGCCAACTTTCGGTAGCCAACCCTTGGCCAAGCGTTGCCCCGACATATGGATCCCGAGTCTTGGCTCGTCAGTCTCAGCCAAGCCTCGGCTATTAATTGGTGAGCCAATTATTGATCAGCCAATTTAGGGCCAGGCGTTGGCCCGAGTATGGGGAGCCAATTACGTGTATGCCGGGACTCAGCCAAGCCCCGGCCCAAGCAACCACACTCGGCAAAACCTACTTGGGTAATCCACAGCGGTTTGTTGTGACAGTCCAAATTCGAACTCTAGAAATTCTTATCCTGGCGGAATAAATGGAACATATTGAGAAATCGTACGGTTGTAGTTAAAAGGATGCGCATTCCATAGAAGCAGGATCCATGAAGGTAGCTGAAGGTGTCACACTTTATACCCTTTGTTTTCTTATGGCTGTCACCAACGGGTTTCCTCTTTGTACACCGGAACCTGCCTCTCGCAGGACTGGCTGTCATAATGCAATTATGCTTAGGGCACTTCATCTCACTATGTCAGACCGTCTGATAACGTATGAATTTAACTAGCATTCCGTAGTTTTCATTCATTGCGTAGATTCCGACAAGCGTCACACGGAGAGAAAAATTCTTGAAAAATTACGTGCCTCTTCTATAACCTGCCAGTCGAAACAATATTCAGTAAAAATTACGGAACAGTTACGCACTTTTTCAGTGGACTTGCCAGAAAAAGTCCAGAACGTTCCCAAAAAAGTTCGGAACGTTCAGTGAAAAAATGCGTAACTGTTCCATAATTTTTACCGAATACTGTTTTGACTGGCAGCTTACGGAAGCGGCACGTCATTATTAAAGAATTTTTCTCTCCGTGCAGGTTTATTGTTATACGTTACATTACTTAATCCTACTTGTAAACGTGCCGATCCAAGCAATCACGACTGGTCTGAATCCTTTTGGTTGGGCAGACCTAGACATTTACCTAGTTTTCTATGAACTAAGAAATCAGTAGAAATGGAAACAATCTGCTCAGTGTGGATCAGAGAATGAGGATTCGATGAAAATTAGAAGACAGATTAAAAACCTCCCGGATACAGACGTTTTTCCTGCTTCGATTGATTACTTTTTATTTTATAGAGAATTCCTTTCATATTCTTATTCGATTTGAAACCCTCTTTTCCGACAGAAGTGTATTTGTATACTATGGTTAGTAATCCAGCGGTCCTGACTTGGCTCTCTTTCTCATTTCGTTCCTTCCTTTTTTTTTTAAAAATATTTTCCACTTAAATCTGAATGGAACTTGTCCTTGGATGCATTGTCATACAAAATCATTTGTTAACCTTGTTTTAACCAATAGTTATTTTTGAGATTCATTATTTTCATCATCTTTTAATTGTTTACTTAATATTCTCGCCTTTACTTTTTTACATTAAATTTTTCCTGAAAAATTTAATTTTTTCTGACTTCATGGAAATTTAATGTCTGAAGATATCAATAGATTTTATTTCAACAGTCAAATCAAAATGCTTACTCGATTGAACTTCCTATCAAAACATTCTTCATTTCTACGATCGAGATATTCATACAACGAGAAAACACTGTAATTTTCGCTTAAAAAAAACAGAAAAAACTCAGACTTATGTCGCCACTTACTACAATAACCTGTTCTAATTTTACATTTTCAACATTCAGAAACCCTTAATGAGAATAGTCCTGGACATTACACCGAATGCATAGCTAACGATGAAAATTGCTCCTTATGGATGATTTATTGCCTAATAAAATCACCGAAGTATGATCATTCCACCGAATAGATCCTCTCTCATAGTCCAGTCAAGTTAGTCTTTAACCCTTAATTAATTCCACTACTCGTGAAAATACACTAATAGATGCTTAAAAGTGCTCTGAACTATATATCAAAATGTGTATGCATTGTTTAACCGGGAACATAAATAAATCAATTAAAAACTATCGAATTTTCTGTACTTAACGTCAAGAATATCAACTGCGTCAATTGAGCTCATCCGCTTGCAAAGAAAAAAAGTCAGCATGAAGAACGCAAATTCAACTACATATTTTATACAAAAAAAAAATCACACCCTACTTCTTATAATCATAATGTAAAGAAAGCCTGAAGTTTCTCAACCTCATTATTAATTTGTTGACATTTCACAGGCCACCTTTTTTTTGCATGCGCACCTCAATGCAGCACGCGCGATGCGCAATAGATTTGAATGTATGTTCCGCGTTGTCATGAATATTTATATTATAATCTTTTGATATCATGAGGACATTAAAATTCATTGATGGAATAGCAATAAAACATTATTATATGAATATTCATGATAGCGCCGAATGTACAGTCACACCCACTGCACATCGCGCGTATGAATTGAGGTGCGCGCGCAAAAATGGGGCGGACTATAAAATGCTAAGGAATTAATGAAGTCAAAAAATTTCAGTATTGTTTTACACTATAATTATTTAAAGTACCACATGGTTTTTTGATATAGATTTGTAGTCGATTTTTCGCTTTACATGCCGATGTTTATTATTTTCTTTGCAATTCGATGAGTTCAATTGACGCGGTTAACGTTCTTGGCGTTGAGCACATGAAAGTCGAAAGTTTTTAATTAGTTTGTCTGTGTTCCAGGTTGACCTCTACGCAAACGTTTTGATATGTTGTGCCGGGTACTTTTACGCCTCTACTGGTATATTTTCATAGGCAGCTGAATTAATTAAGGGTTGCACTGTTTTCAGCTGCGAGATTGATGAGGCTGTTGTATGCGTGAAATAGGAAGGAATAACCGAATTGAAGCGTACACAATAAATTTGTACAAAATGTAATAATTAGATGTATGTTATCTAATGCTGCAAATGTCATCACTACCAGTTGAAACACAGTGCTGATGAATCACCCAGAAATACAACTTCCATAAAAAAAACCTGTACAAAAATGAGCTAATTTCACTATATAATAAAGGAATTTCTCACCGATATAGTCGGCTAAAATAATATTGGAATTAATCAAAAATTACTAATTTTGATCAGCGAATTCATGTCTCGGGAATCTATTTCCAGAAAGGCTTGGCAACCTTCAAGTAGCTGGGAGTCATTCTATTACTAGGGTTGCGATAATCTCCAAATTCTAACGGTCATCCAATTACACTGATAGAAGGATTGGGTTAAGGTTACACAGCCTCGATAACTATTATCTAATAACGCAGTTAAATAATACCAGCTGAAGTCGTGTGGTGACAGTTAGCCAACGGTTCATTTGAGAGATTAAGATTGATCCAACTGGCAGATTAGTTAATAGTTACCGAATGGCTAGTTGGTAATGTAAACAGCAGAAATACAATGTGTTCTTCAAGTAAATGGCGTTGACTTAACTGCAAATCCGTGGTCACAGAAAAATTCAATAAAATTAAATACGGTTAAAATCGGTGAACAGTCGAATTAACTCTTTTGTTGTATTTATAACTAAATGCCTGGTTCCGATCAACGCATAGAACAAAAATGCGCAATCGAATACGACAGATTCCTATAACCTAATCCTTCTATCAGTGGAGACAACCTTTGTCTATGAATTTTGTCAGTGGTAACAATATTCCTGCCACCCACGTTGGCGGACGAGACAAGTCAAAATGACCGCTCAGCCAGAATTGGCACCAAATTTCACTTGACAATTTTTAATCGTAAATTCAAAAATTAAATTAAAATTTGCAATAAAAAAAAAATTATTAGAGAATATATTTCGAAAATTGTTTTTGGCAATTATTATTTTCCTTTCAAAGAGTGCAACTTTAAATGTGCAAAATAAAAATTGGCAACAGTCAACTTAAAATTATACTCCTAAAAATTCCATTTCAGATTTTCATATTACATTTCCAATGTTACAAATCAAGTTTAAAAACGAGCAATGAATATTTAGATTAAAAAAATGAGGAAATCAATTTTTTCACTGTTGTTTTTGTGAATGTTATCTTCTAACTTGTAATTTCGATGAAATTATAGAATTCTGAAATCGAAATTTGTAAAAAAAAATTGAAAATTGAAACTATGAGAAAATTAAGACGTATATGTAGAGGTATATAATCTACCGTATCTTGAGGCATCCTTTTTGTACCCGAAACGATCCATTTTCCTCACTGATAGCAATCCTGACTCAAATGGTGTTATATAGTGTACTTTATTTAATATCAAATTCTTAGGCCCGGCCCTCAGTTGACAAGTCACGTTCCTTGATCCAATGCCACAGATGTTGCTATATTGCAGTTAGCAACCCTTATCGTTAGTTTATAGTTTCTCTCGAGGTCAGCACAAAAATTTAATGCAATCAATCATTTTTTAAGTCAACCGCTACCTACTATATTTTTCACATATTTTATATCACTTCTCTGCAAATTTACTGAAAACATGTAAAATGCTTTTATATTTAATATTTAATAAACATAACTTGTACAATGTTGGAAATTTTGTTTTAGTGACGGCCGAGACAGCTGAACAGGCGAAACGTAGGCGAATATCTCGTGAAAACAAATGACCTTCGGGAAGCGACCTTGACAGTGATTAGCTACCGTCTCTCGTCAAGGCCTGTATGTATGATTATTTCTCAAAACTGGACGTTGATTCGATCGCCGTGTGGCTGGACCCCACCTGGTGAATCTCGAAGTGTCAAACTATAAACAAATGTTGAAATTAATGAAGGTAAAATTTAACAAAAACATTTAAAAGAATAGCGCACATGTAATCTTTCTTAGTCGGTTATAATAAAGGGTTTGATAAAAATCGAACATCAATGTTGATAATAATTTTATCATGTTTCATATTTGTATTTCTGTTATTCAGAATGCTAAGGCATAAAATACTTGACTGTCACTTCAAATAATTCATTTATGATTTTTTGTATAAAAGAGAGATTTATCAACATTTTTACCCTGATTTTTTCAAACGTTTTATTGGTTTCCTTCAGTTGTTTACATCATTAATAGAGAACATAATTCTTATTATTATGATATACGATACTATTATTATCATTTTGTGACTACGATCATTGGTAATGTTTCAATCTTATCCACGATTTATCATTATGACAACTGCCATTTGTTCGTCTACAAGAACCATAGAGATGTGATGAATGCTTATTTTTCTTTGAAATTGTTACGTTTTATTAAAATTGTTGCAAATCTCCGTAATGGGTGGCTTTCAAAGAAAATGCCGAAAGAGTACATTTCATTACTGATTTCTAAAACTTTACCATTCACGCGTGCTACACATATTATCTTTAAACAACTATCAAACCTTTCTTTCACGAGTAGTTTGAACACCAAAGCGTTCTACTGCGTGAAGGGCATAAAGCTTATGACTGTGTATCAATCGTAACGCACTCTGTACACAAAACAAATACTTTGCCCATTAAACTGCGTATTGTAAATATTATTATGTGTTGCATATTCATGCGAGAAACATCATTATGCACAATAGTAATACAATGTGCTATTTTGTAACACATACCTGAAAAGTCCATAAAGTGCAGAGAATGTACAAGAAGTAAATTCTCGTATGTAAAACTTCACATCACGCACTCGAAAAGTACGATCTTGACTCACGATCTTGAATTGTAACGCTCCGTCCAAAATAAGAACACGATGCCCCCTCCGCAGTCCCGAAGCGTGCACTCAGCAGTTATCACAAAATAGTACATTATGTAGTACCTAATGTGAAACTGCCCGGTATAACATGTATAATATTTTTCTGCCTACATGCGCCGAAAGTGAGCATTCTAACCTCACTTCGTTCGGTTAGAAACGTCACTTTCGCCGCATATCGACAGAAAAATCGTATGCAACCCTCGGGAGGATAATCAGACAAGCATTTCCCACGTGCATACCACCCTCGCCTTCGGCTCGGGTGGTAATTTTGCACGTGGGAAGGACTTGTCTACTTTTCCTTCCTAGGTGAGCAATATACTATTTGGCAATACCTGCCGCAATTCACTTTGCTTAGTGGTTTGAAAAGCGAAGTGTTCGTTTTGTGATCGAGTTCCACCAGTCTAAGGTCGTATATAAATACAATCTTCGTGTATGACCTTGAACTTTGCCCGAGCCGCCCGAACCGGTTCAAAAAGTTAACTTTTTTGGCATCAGACATTACAAAAAAAATAGGATATAAATGCTCACTTGGAATACAATATACTATTAATATCACATTGAATTCTCTCTAAGAGTTCTCTTGGGGCTATTTACACAAATTACTTCCTAATATGATTGGGACATCTAATGTAACGTGGTCGGACTAATTATTGTTAAAAAATTTCCGCACGAAGTAAATTATTCCCAATTTCGGCTTAGAACGCGTCTGCACTCTCATTTTTACATCCTTGCCAGCTGTGACTGATTAGTCTCCTTGAATGTGTACAAAAAATAATAGCTCCTTACAATACATGTACGGAAAGCCGCTTAGAAGTCACGAGAACATACAATACCTCCATTATAAGTTGTCGAGATGGGCCGTATAAATCCCAGGTATAATTATTTGTAATATAGATTTTATTTGTCTATTAAAAAGTTGAAGGTTTATAAAATTTCCTAACGTATAAATGTAGATGGAAATGAGTTGTCATCAAAATTCTGAAATACACTAGTTCATTCGGTAATACCGTAATACCTCTATTTCAAAAAGTTTCATGGTAGATCCGGTTTTATTGGAGATTGATAACTTATTAATAAGGCAACTGAGAAATTGATGTTGTGTACTTGACCATTTCATTACTAATTCGTTAGAAAAAAAAATCTTTCTTTTACCACAGTATCTGTATATTGAAATATTATCTTTTCTCGCAGTAGTGCAATTGTTTGATTCATAATTTTCTTATTCTCTTCAATTCGCTTTCTTTATTATATGTATATTGTTTCGTAAGATTGCATAGCTTATATTAGTGGCGAATAATGCTCTTTATTTGTTTTCTTCTTTTTTGAGAGGGTTCTGCAAAAACCAAATGTATATAATGAATAATAATACAATAACGTGGCAATAAATTTGACCTAGCAATTTATTGTAATTAAATGGAGTAAATAAATTAAATATTAACGATGAATACTTCAACCGACGGATCGTGAAAATGAACTATTAATCAGCTCAGGTGTGCTTTACTATGAGACGGCTTTTCCTAATGAAATTGTAATTAATTACTACATGATGGATTGATAAAAGAAAGTGAGACAATTAACTATTGAGTTGTATATCTATGGATCACCATTCCATCGATATATCTGTGAACTACTAAATCTAGCGGTACTGCCGTTAATCTCAAATTATTGCAATCCTTGGACTTTTTTTTTACATTTTCGAGGATACGAAATAAAGATTATCATGAAAGATTATGTTTTTTATATTTTTCCTGAATTGCGCCCGAAAGAGCTTTGTTAATTTTGTAAATATTTCAGAAAGAAGTGGTTTGAAGGAAGAATATTATAAATTTTTTTGTAAATTGAAACGTTCTCAACCACAGTAGTAAATTTTGTGATGGGATCGACGCAATAGTATATTACGATACAAGTGAAAAATAGTATATTTTTCAGCTAGGCAGGTAAAATAAAGAAGGCTTACCCACGTGCAGAATTACTACGGGGTAAGCACGTGGGTAAGCCTTCTTTACTTTACCTCCCTAGGTGAGAAATATACTAATTAACCTATGTGAGGGCAGTAATGGCCTACGCCGGTGTTTTTGAAAAATTAAAATTTTTATGATACCAGTGAGAAAGTAGCACATTTCACCATTAAGCCGTTAAGGATGTTTTGCTGGTATTTTGTTATTTTTCCGGTTTTTCTGAGATTTATTGAAAACTATCGATCGGATTGGGATATGAAAATATAGCGTTTGTCCATTCCATCATGATTGACTCTTTCATAAAGTTTCTTTCCGATATACTAATTTTTGTAACTTTTCACTAAAATTTAATAAAAAATCAATAAATTTTAGTGAAAAGTTATAAAAATTGGTGTATTGCGATGAAACTTTGTGAAAGGATAAATCATGATGTAACGGACAAACGCTATATTTTCATATCCCAATCCGATCGATAGTTTTCAATAAATCTCAGAAAAATAGGAAAAATAATAAAATACCAGCAGAACATCCTAAGAGCCTTCGTAACAATTGTCAGTTTACAGTCCGAGGCCGAGTCGAGGAATGCCAACACAATCGTCAGAAAAATTTTCTTTGGTCGAGTGACGAACCATATTTCTTGTTATTCTGTCCATGGGCAGGGTTTTAAGGCCAGGGTTTGAGCGGCCTAGTGATGAAATATACCATTTTTCCACATTTGACACACAAAAACTGTTTTTTTCTCTCGAATATGATATAACTTTGTACGATACATATGAAAAAAATTAACTTTTAACAAATATGCTTACACAGTTTCGGCTCGGGCTTCGGCAATATATTATTCGACATTGCTTATGGAACGACATACTTTCCGAATTCAAAAAATTCTAAATCACTACACAAAAATATTATCCAGTGCGTTGTGATGAGTTATTTTTCAGTCACGTAGTTCACTAGTTAAGTAAAACAGCCCATCTTAACAGCATGAAATATCCTCTTTTTTGTCATGTCTATACAGAAAGTGCGATTTACATTTGTAATTATTGAATCTTGTGAATTTTTTGCGATTTCGGAATAAAATAAGTTACTACTGTGTTTTTAGTGGAAAATCGGCGTGTACATTGAGTCGAGATATTAAGGTCTACTTATTTTTTACCGTTAGTTTTATTTTCAACAACCATCAATCCGCGGATGACACAGAGTTAATGGTGAATAGTAAAAGTTCGGGAGTCCAAACCCACCGATCATAAAAGTACTGCGATTTCGTAAATATTGCAATGAACATGGGAATAGTTATGCCGAAATCTCGTCCCCGTTACTATGGGAAATTATAAGCTTTCCACTGGTATACCCGCCAATGGATATATTAATAACTACCAGGTGACATATACATAGATAACCATGTCACATGTAGTAAGCTTTTATCCTTTTACCTATATACTACCTTGTAATTATTACAATATTCATTATCGTAAATTATACAGTCGTGTATGGTGTTTGTCATTGTTTACCCAGCAATATAAAAATGATAATTATTTAGGCTCGATTGAAAACCATTTTACTATATTGCCATTCTCCTTTATGAAAATTCTCTCGTTCTTCTACTTAAATTCCTACTATTTCGGCCTCGTCACTACACATTTCTTTTTGTCCTTACGTTCGCAGACAAGGAATCACAGATGCTACCTTGTACAGCGCATAAGGACTGCTTTATGGATGGAGTGAGGAAATAGTATTTGGCAATGTATATAGTATTGTCCAACTCGGGCGTAAAGTAGCATTGTTTCATATAACGTGAGATCGTTCAAGATCACGATTAAAGTCAAGTTTAAATGCACAACGCCGGGCTTTACATCTGATCTCTGAACTGCATGCACGTTGTGGGAAAACTAACATTTTACGTAAAATCTTACTGAAATAGTAATTTATGTCATAAAGCCTGAAAAGTATTTCGTTTTATTACACGCTTCGCTCGACAGAATCACAGATTTTGCACCCAATGATATAAAATACTATACCAAACTCGTGCGTTGTAGTGCTTTCGCCTTCGCCTTGTTTTACAACTCCCCACGAGCCAAAAAACCCATTATACATATGCACTTGCTGCGTAATATACTGTTGCAGATTTTACTAAAACACTATATATATATCCTCGTCCGCCCTGTAGATGATTCATTATTTCGCCAAAAATAACTTTTGTAATGATGCGTATCGTATCCTTAGAATAGAAATTTCCTGGTCGGAGAACGAAAAAGATCTTATATCAATTGAACGTAATTAATCTCCTCAAGATTAGTATTTTTTTAATGAGTAAAGGAAAGCAGAAATTTTAGAATGAATCAAATATCTTTATTATTTATCTTTATCGTAATGAAAAGATGTGCGGTGAAATTTCAGGAAACTTTTTTCTAACGCTGAACATGTGAGAACGAAAAACGTACTTGGGCAGTTTACTCTGAAACCACTTACTATAGAGATATTTGCACTTCCGTTTTCAATGACTCTCGCACCGAATCACAATTATTTTGTAAGAATGATCTTAATTGTGTTATTTTTCAAAACTTCTGATCCATTTGTTTACCGTCTTCGTCACGGCAACAGCAACTATTCATAAACGAGCTTGCATAATGATCAATTTTTCTTCCGCAAGAAATCTGAAACCTGACATGTGTAAACGTCATCTTTTAATCATGCTAACTGGGACACTTGGGAAAAAAACTGCAATTTTTTCACTAAATATGTCAGAGAACTTGTGGTAAAGGGTTTAAGTAATGAAAGGATGTTTATTTTTATTTACAAACATCAAAAGATGTCGAAACTAAAAAAAAAATCATATACAAAAAAACAAAGAATGTAATAAAAAAAATCACTTAAAATCCACAAAAAATTTTATAAATAATATAACAAGAACGAAATGGAGAGTGTAAGTACAGTGTGAATTTGATAGGTAATATATGAATAAATATATTTTGTAAATAATTTCTTGTAAAGATTAAATAAGAACTTCTCATTGTACATGGAAAATCTTCGAAATTGTTAAAATTTTTATTAAAAAACAAGAAAAAAATTAGGGACTTGCAAAAATATGATGAAATTTCTCATGACTCAATTGTGTAATTACAAATAAATGTCTTTGTTTTTTCATAAAAAATTATATTATTATTGAATTGAAACCTGATGCATTTGTTAATTACGCAATTTATTGAGAATAATGGATAAAGAAAATATCCTGGACATTGTTTCAAATCACCTTCATTTGTAAAGAAACATGAAAACAACTAGTGACATTTTCTTATAACATCATCGCTATTATCCACATAATAATATAAATACCCATATAATTTTGAATCTATATCACTCGAATTAATTTTTTTTGTAAATCGTTTTCTTCCACATCAGCACGTCAATTTCTTTTATTACGTATGCATATATTCTCCTTGACAACAAAAAGAAAAACATTAAATAAATGAATAACTCTATCTAATCATAATTACTGAATTAATAGTATATAGACAAAAAAAACCGTGTCGATTGTCTATATTGTTTATTGCACTATCAGAGAATCTAGTTTTATATTATGTAAATGTACATTATTCATTTTACAATGGAAGAGTTGATGAAGCATTTTTATGGATGCAATGAATTTAAAAATTCAAATAAAATCATTTGTATTTATTAATCATTTAATTAATCATTTTTATGTCGCAGCGTGCAATAAATTGAGTTTATCACACGCAGCCTGCTCAAAACTCGATTTCTGCATGCATTTACATGAAATAGTTGGAGCACTTGGGAATAAATTTGGTTTTCAACGAATGTGAAGTTTACAAGCCGAGCCGAAGGTGAGGCCTGTACTCAAAATATGTGCCCTTTTACTCTAATATACTATCATTTACAATCACAATTGTATACAAGATAAAAATATAATTTTCCATTGATTTTCATAAAATACATAAAAACATTCAAACAAGTGATCAATCTCACGAATTGCGTCATTACTTCGATTCTGTCTACAGTTCTATTTAAATATAAATTATCGATTGAATAAACAAAAAATGTAAAATACAGATTTTTTTGCTGGTTTTTTTATTCGTAAATCGATAGTTATTGATCATGAATCAATTAGTTAATTAAAATATATTGTATATAAAGAACTTAATTCTACTCAGTTAAACAGGAGAATGAATAATCGTAGTTGTACATAAAATTTAGTACGTAGAAGAGAAAAATCAGAATAGAATCAATTGTTCAATGATTCTATCAAGTTAATTTTCATTGTTTGAACATTATAGCTGAGTGAAATGAGATTCAGCGATAAAAAAACATACTGATAAATGAAGATGCATTGTAATTTTTCTATGTAAAATATTCCGTTTGACACTAGTTAGATAGGCTAGATAATAACTTGAAAATAACTAAAAGAAAATAATTGATTGTATAGAAAAAGCATAAAACCCATATAACATATGTAAATACTGTAATGACTTATTCTAGATGCAAAAATGATTATAATTACGCTCACATCATTAAGGGACTCTGAGTGTTTTCCTCTTTTTCCGTCAATTTCCCGGCAATTGATCAGAATTTATCTTCAAACATTTACAAAAACGATCAAAGAGCAGAAAAATCATGAGAATTAGTTAATTAATTACAACAAGGATTAATTAATCTGACCTGATTAATTAATTACTTCTATAATTAATTTATTAATTGTATTGTTGATAATTTTATTTTTTTTTTATTGAAAAAGAGAAAACAAAAGGTGATGAATTTTCCATAATTAATAATAAACATCCGTAATTAAATTGTAAATCGTTGTTTCGTGTGTGAATTTAATTGTTAATAATGTCGAGTAAGAAAACAAATAGTTGGAGAAATAATAAATATTTCGATGAGACCGATTTCACAGATAATTCGGTAACAATGCAATTTTGTGTATTCTCCTACAAATACGTGTGAAATGAATGCAAAGCAGTACTATACTAAAGCAGATAGCGATACTCCGAGTGCATGAATAAAGGATTTGAAAGTATGATAACATTTCTAATGCTAATTGAATATATTTTTTAGAGCCCTATTCTTTTAATACAATCACTACACTCAGGAATAGCATATTGTGCATCAAGGACGAAAAGTCATGCTTTTCCGCCCGAGGTGTACATGCTGCTTTTCTAACACGCCTGCAAAGAAAAGTTTATATTCTGCTTCTGAGCTGATGGCCGAGAGTAAAGTGAGTACTTTCCGCCTTAGACTTAGACTTTTTCACATGGGATGGCAACCAATCACTTTCCTCCCGCTTATCAGGGAACTAAGTACGAACTTTCTGTGCAGGTGTGTACAAAAATTGTTTTTTTTTAATGTAAGCAAACGTGTGGATTAGGTCTGGCATGGGTAAACTCAGACCTTCGGGAGCCCGGGCCATATAAAACCCTATTAGACCCATTATCAAGATACTCGACTGCGTATCGGCCAAGTAGAGGTTTTAGCGGTGTGACGTCACATGCCGATGCTGTCGCGTATAATATACACGACACAACTGTGTCACACACAACTTCAAAACTGTGTTTGATTTTTTTTCTCGTAATACGAGAATTTTTCGCGAAATCGGGCCTTAGTTACATTATATAAGTTGACTGTGAGCTTTATGAAGATATTTTTACTTTTTCGATAGAATCACTAAATAAAAATATCCTCCCATAGCAATCATCATAATGTCATATTTCCTCAATTTTATTTTCTCTCAGTGTTAGATTTGTTCGTCAAAGTTGGCAAGGAATATAATGTGTGTCATTCTCTCTTTTCCTCCTTTTGTCCAAAGACTACAGGAGACATACTCATGCGTATGAATAAGTTTCCGAATGAAAGGGTCGTAGCGGTGGCGCCTGATTTAATTCGGGTTTGGTGGCATGGACCACCGAATTAAATAAATTAATTATTTGGACCCTCTTAATCGTTTACAGGTGACTTGCAGGTGAATGATAGCTAAAAATTAGCGGTTAATCCATAATAAGTAGATATTACTAATTTTTCAAGTTGAAGGCTAACTTCCGATAAAAATTCCCGATGCGAATAGAATTCACTCATCTAGATCGTTCTCGGTCATGTAATACGTATTGTGCAATTGAATATATTCAGCGTAAATAAAAAAATATCAAATAGAAAATCGAGAATTGAAAATTGAAGGAAGTGCCAACATTATATTCGTTGCCAACTTTGACGAACAATTCTAGAGCTTAGAGAAAATAAAATTGAAGAAATCTGAAATTATGATGGTTGCTATGGGAGGATAATTTTATTTAGTGATTCAATCGAAAAAGTAAAAATGATCATATTTTCGCAAAAAATATTCTCAGTTTTATTCACAAAAAAATACGTGAAATAAAAAAGACGCCAAGCATTTCGTTCACAAATCATATTGATTAGAGGGACTTAACATCTCAAGTGACTGAGTCCAGTAATGTAAATGAATGGAAAGGTCGCCATTGGAAACTTTAAAGAAGAAAAAGCCCTCTACAAATTGCCGGCTTGAGAACACACGTGACTGATACATGTTGTCATATGCCCATGTGTGAGCTGACTTTTCTTTATGTACGGGCACTCTTAAATTAACGATCTTGACAAAGCTAGCGCTACCAACGGTAAGTAGCTTCGCCAATCGCCAATTCGATTTTCGGAAAAAAGTCCACTTAACGACCCTTCCATTCATCTACATTACTGGACTCAGTCACCTGAGATGTTAAGTCCCTCTAATCAATATGATTTGTGAACGACATGCTTGGCGTATTTTTTATTAATTAATATAAAACTGAGAATATTTTTTGAAAAAATATAATCATACAATAAAACCTCTACTTGGCAAAATTTTTTCACAAAATTTTTTTTGTGATTTTTTCATATTAGAAATACAATACCTCAATTGGGTGAAGCCCAGCGTAGTCAGGATGGGAGTAGCAGGGTGCACGGAGCGGGGCGCAGTTAGACAGAGAGAATGCCGCGCGTGTTCTGTTCAAATTTAAGAAACCTTACCGCCCACAAATTCGAACAAATTTTCACGAATTCAACGTGAACAATCCTTAGTTGTATCGAGGGTAATTGTTCAAACATCGTGATGTAAGAAATTGATTATTTCTTGGTTATTTTGACCGGATCACACATTTTCCAATCTGTGAACATTTTTCAGTTACCTTTGTTCGATCACCCTCTGCAGCTAATTATTTTTATGTTTTTTTGTAGTAACTATTTATTATCGTGGTTAACTGAAAATGGATGAATTTTCAAACGTTTAACAGTGGGATCAGTATAATGAACAAACAAGACACGAAATGATAGAATTCAAATTTCTTGTTTTCTTGTGCTTTTTCGAGGCCAAATTTTAAAAAATTTTTTTAATGCTGCTTAGGAAATGTTCAAACAATATTGATAAAAATTAAAAAATCTTTTGACAAGTGCTTCTCAATTCATTTCTTGCTGAAATATTGCATTCCGAGTGATTTATTCAACGGAATTTTGAGCGGAAGTTGATATAGAAAAAAATGATTAATTGATATTTTTTAACTATACAAAGTACAGAAAGAAATATATTCATATTTTTCGTCCAAAAATTCAATTTTTTGCGTGTAGACTGACCTAACGAACCCTCACTCTGACCCAAGCATCGTGGTCTCGTCCCTCCGACGACCTGCACAATACAATAGGACCCATTCTTTTATAGTCATTGGCCTAATTGGGGTGGGGAGCTAGGTGAGCCCATTGAGCGTACTTTGCCCATACCTGGGGATTAGGCATTTATTTCCGAGATGAACGATTCGATCAAAAACCATCTTCAAATTTGTTTCAAATCTAACTAAAGGGTTTAGTTGGATAGGCATAGTGAATCTGCCCCCAGTGAATTTCAAGACGCCAATTTTTTGACATATTTATGATCCAAAAAATACCTCTTTGAAAAATTTCAGATCGTTAACTTGATTTTTTGATTTTTGTTCATTAAAATACGAGTTCTTTCAATTTTCTTGTTTTTTGGATTCTAAAACTCGTTTTAAAAATCAGAAAAAAAATTCGAAAATCGAAAGTACTTTAAGACTGTAGAAAATAATTTTTTTATATTTTGTTCTTGATAAATTCCATTTTGTATTACAGAATCTTTTTTTAAAATTAATTTTGATGTGTACAGATTTTTTTACTACTCTAAAAAAATTTGAGGAGATTGGACTCTCAATTCGTTTCAAATTGAGGAAGAAACGTTTCAATGTTTCGCCTGCTACGAATTCTAAAAAAATAAAAACTGCAAGTTTTTACATCTTTTGCTCTGAGTAGTAGAAAAATCTGTACACATAAAAATTCATAAAAAATACAAAGAATAAGTAATATTAACAATAGAATTTACCACGAAAAACATATAAAAGAATTATTTTCTACATATTTGAAGTGTTTTTGATTTTTTTAATTTGTTCTGATTTTTAAAACGATTTTTGGAATGAGAGAAAAAAACCGGAAGAATACATTTTTTAATTATTGAAAATTATAAATATATAAAAAAAATTGACGCCTTGAAATTCACTGGGATCAGATTCACCATGCCTATCTGTCTAAACCCTCTCCATCAGTTAGCAATCGACTAATTTGGCAATCTCCAAACATCCTCATGAACCTCCCACTCAACGATTGATAGTAAGTGAGATCTTCGGAACTTGTATTATAGTTTTGTAACTGCATTTCGACACATATCAGACGTAATTGTAATCAACAATGTTTTATCGACTGACAGCATGGAGTTGAAGTTTATAATTACTTCCGTATGCCGTACCGGAGAACCTTGCAAAAATCCATTCAATCAATAAAATATTATTCAAAAAATCTTTCTGTTGAAGTTTCGTGTCTTACTCATCCCACATCCGTTCAAACCATAAAATATTAGTAAAAAAATCTTTCTGTTGCAGTTTCGTGTCTCACTAACTGCACGACAGTACGATTTCGGTGTGTTGCACGCGCCAAGCAAGTGTTGAAAGGTTATTGTTATTATTATTACATTACTCAACCCATGAAACAAATCACTGAGCGCTTCTTGTAGGCTCTAATTTCATCTCGAAGGCCGCTCAGTAAGCTAAGCGATACAAACTACACCTAATCGCACTATAGTGGCTCTCCCTTTAAGCAGAGTGTAAGCTCTACTGAAATTCAAAGTCGTGCTGTCTATGTTGCCGCAGAGACCCAAGAATAACAGTCTTTTACATGTGGCCAGCCAATATTACAGCATTTCGCCCACCGGCTAGAATGAGCTCAAGCGCAAATGGAAAAGACTCGTGCATGTCGTCGAGAGTACTAATAATCTTGCAATGCTCTGGAGCAGGGATAGGGAACCTCCAGGTAGCGCGGAGCAGAGTCATAAACTCGAGTTAGATAAAGTTTATAACCATGCCAGTTATAAGGGTCCTAGTACGATCATAGTT